TAACACGATGACTAATTAAGCGAACAATTATTCGAAAGTTGAATGCGCTCACTTTGGCCGCAATTCCTTTCCAATGGTTTTTCACAAAATGGAAACACACCAATTGGAGTCTTCTGTCAAAAAACGCATACTACTTTATTCAATCGATTTCTTTATATCTGCTTTCGAAATCAGCTGCCGCAATAATAAAGAACGTAAATGCTTCAAAATCAGAATGTGAATGATTATGACAAAAAGATCGGAAATGTCAAAACGAATCGTTGTGGTAGTGGTGATCTGTTGCATATTCGGCTAATTGAAAAAGAAAATATACTGACTAAAACGTTAATGTGATTAGGCAATCAATGTGTTTGATAAAATAGCTTTTTGGAAACGATAGCAAAACAATCGATGACGAGTACATATCGATAAGGAAAATTTTCTTTTAATACAAGAGGATTGTTCTCTTATCACAAGTTGTTTTACACGAGGATTTACTATAAAAAGATTTATTCTTGTTACAAGGGAATTGGATGAGTGGACTTGCATTAAGAAGACCTTTAGTCTTGCAGTATGTGCGTTAACGCCCTGAGCGTCGTCAAAATAAGCAGCTGTTAAAGCTTGTTTTCAAGGTTAGTTAATTTATAAGTTATATATTCCGAAAATATAGACGAACGTTAGTCATTCCATTGAATGAAAAAGCACTTGCAAAACCTCGTCATAGGGTGATTATTGGCTGGAAACTTGAGTGAATTGGACAAGCGAGAAATAGCAAAAAAGACATTTGGGAGGAAACTCAAGGCTTGCTGAGTTTGCACACGCGTCCATTATAAACGAGAGCGCGTACGGTTCTCCCTTTTTCGCTCGTGTGGACGCAAATAACCTTTGGATTTCGGGATCGTTAATCAAAGGCCTTTCCACGCTTCGAGGAAGCCGCTGCACACTCTCTCTCTCTCTCTCTCTCTCTCTCTCTCTCTCTCTCTCTCTGTCCGTCTGCTCGCAGATGATCTCGCGCCGGACATTCCAGCCGACGGCTTAGACTAATTCCTACGAGAGCTATTGTGACTAGCCTTCGGGAAATTGCCGCTCCATCGCGTTTCGTCATGTCTCTCGAAAACTGAAAATTTGTGTTCTGTTTTTGACTTTTGTAGTAGGCTCCTTACTGCGCGCCACCGCATCTCAATACTGGATGTTTTATTGTCTGCGACGATGTTGTACGTGTGCACAAGTGAAATAATGGCTGGCTTTTGCTTTTGTTCGCAAACACGTACACGTTTTTATTACTTTCAAACTAGCAGCTTTTGCACGCAGCTTCTTTTTTTGAGTATTGTCACTACAAAGAAATGTCGTTCCTCTTTTCAAAGTACAGCTAAAATCTTGTTGCCAACGAATATGTACGTTGAATTGAGTTTTAAATGTACTTATAGGTTAACGAGTTGCGTTATATACTTTTTGCTTTCTCTTGTGTAAAACCTACCTCAATGCTTTATTAAAGCACGGGTAAGCGTAAGTTGAAGCTCCAACGTAGCTTTATTACGCAAAGGCAAATTCAAGCTACAACGAACATTGGAGGCCAGTCAGCACTAATTACGGCATTATGAGTATTAGTTTGTGTGCTTTTTCTAATCTTTCGAATCGCAAACGAGTTCGTATCACTTCGAATTCGAGTGAGGCGGGCAACATAATCTTGGCTGCCGAACGACCGCGTGCGTCTTGTGCACGTCTGGGGATCGCGTATCAAACGCCGAATCAGCTTCTCGATGGTCCTTTTCGCGTAGGCGCGATACTTATTACACTTACTTTCGTGACAAGTTCCGCGACCCGATCTCCTGCACGTGTGCGAGTGTGAAGGTCTGCCGGCAAATCGACGTTCTATCTTTTTTCTCGCTCCTCTTTTTGCCTATGGCGCTCTCACACAAATCCGATTCATTTCGCACTACTTCACTTCGACTGTCGAACGATTAGTTAGTGACTTTTTTCCTGCGTCGTTGAAGATTTATCGTGCGATATTAATACTTGACACTTGCGGCCACGTCAGAATTAAAATTGTGAATCGTTGATCCGGTATTTCATTTGAATCTTAATCTATAAGAATGGTAATTTTTTTCAATTAATTTTTGACTACGGAGATATTGCCTTTTCTTTGTAAATAAATTACTTTTTTTTCTGAAGATTATGCATACTCGAAGATATATTTGGTCGACTCAAGAGTAAATACTCCAAACACACATGTTAATTGGAGGACAACATGGAACAGATTGTACGCAAGATTAAAACGGCACTCTTATCCACACGTCCAGCGTTATCTCGAATAAAACTTTGATAACGATTTTAGGAAATTGTGCAGAATATGAGGCGTAATTTAAAAAATTAAATAAATAAATAAGCGCAAAAGAATGAAGATATTTCCGAAAGGTTATAAAATAATCAAAGTCGAAAAAGAAATTCTCGAACCGCGCGAGGGGAGCTTGTAAATCATTTCGGTTATAAGAATAATATTATCACGCAGCGCGCGAGATGATGAGAGGACCGAGGCGCGGAGACGTGCGGACAACTCCGTCGTCCTAATAGGCTATTTCCTCGCTCGCAAAACTAACAGTGAAAGTAAAGTAGCTCCACGGTAGCCGTGGAATGCACACCATCAGCACCTAGCACCCGAATTAGCGGTCTGCCGTTGCCCTCGCTCTCAACGAGCGCCAAAAAAAAACCATTTTCGCGTGACAGCTTCGTCATTCTAGGCTAGAACCTATATATCGTGTTTTTCTTTTCTCTTCTTTTTATTTGTTTTTCGACAACGACGTAAAAATCGACTCACCGTGTTAGCGTCGGCCTGGGTGTCCTCGTAGTCGGACTCATTTTTGGTGCCGTCGTGGTCGAGCACGATATTTGCACGATACGAGACGTTCCTCTGGGAGCTGTCCGTGAAGCGTAGATTCCCAAAGGCGTCCGGCCGCAGACGAGCCTCGAGTTGGATGTTGCGATAATTGCGCTTGGTCGTTTTCGGAGTAGTCGAAGTGGTAGTGGTGGTGCTGGCAGTGGAGGTCGCGCGATCCTCGGTGAGCCTGCGAATGATGTCGTCGTAGGTTTTCAGCGGCGCGCCGTGGTCGTCGTTCTTGTAGAAGTCGTTGTCGAGCTCCACGGCGTCGTCGTCCTTCCAAAGCTGCTCGAACGGGTCTTCCTCGTCCGGCGGCGCCTCCTCGCGCGCGCTCGTTCGCTTCTTCGACCAGGACGACTCGTGATGATACAGCCTGGAGCCGTTGGCCAGGTGTCTCATTTTCTTGGGCCACTCGCTACTCGGACGTCGACTCGGCGACTCGTCCTGGTGCGCCACTCGGCCTGTGCGAAACCGGTCGCGTTTCCTCGCGCGACTGGCGTATTCCTCGCGCTCGTCCTCGTCCTCGTAGTCGGAGTCGTAGCCGTTGTCGTGAGCGGCCTCGTCGTTGTAGTTGTCGTCGTTACGATGTCGCCAGTCTTTTCTCAAATCGTATCTGGACGCGCGATGATTGGTGCGTTTACGTTTGTGCTTGCCGAGCCGATTGTGAGTCTCGTTGTCAAGGGCATCCATGTCCTCGTAGTCCTCGAAGCTGCTGCTGCTGCTGCCGCTATCCTCGTACCTCCGACGGTGATGGGCGACAGGCGATCGCGCGCGGTGATGGGCGTGGAACCGGTGAGGAGCTGCGTCGTGGTGGCGCGACCGATGGTATCGCGACTTGGAACTCGAGTATCTGGACTCGTATCTCGAGTGGGGGTTTCGATGCCGACTGGGCCACTCGTCTCTCTGCTCTTCTTCGCTCTCGTCGGAGTAAAGCTCGCCGTCATGGTCGTATTCGTCCTCGGTTTCGTTGTCGTTGTAGTACTCCTCCTCGTAGTCGTCGCGCTTCCAGCTGGGCAAGCGCTGAAGCTCGTGTCGGTGGCGGTGACGGTGATGAGGCGCCGGTTGGCGCGTCGCCTCGGCGGCGCTCAGCAGTAGCGAGATCAGCGCCAACGAGGCCAGCGCCAGCAGCAATTTGGATTTGGTCGTTGAGAACATTCTTCTGTGCTTCTCTCTCGTTCTCGCTCTTCCACTGTATCTCTTTTCGCCTAGGATTGACTCGTTCGCTCGGGCCGTCAGCTGTTCCGCGACATCCGCGACTCGTTGGTTGCGTGCCTGGTTCGCCACTAGCGCATTATGTCGCGATCGGTCGCTATGTCGCGATGACGTTCAGGGCAGTCCTTGCAGCGGCTGGCCGCTGCTCATGCAGCAGTCGTGCTCGGTGCCGACCGAGCGACCTTGGCGCATCGTTTTTCGAGACCGCTTTCGCTCATCTATTATTAATGACTGGACCATTTAGCAATCAATGCAACCGAGCTCTTCTTTCCTTTCTTCTTCGCAGCCTCTCGATGTTGATTCGATCTCCAAAAAATTATACGCGAACCGGCACCGCGATCGCGACTGCTCACTTATCACTGATTTGGCATCACTCAACCGGTGTTTCTTAGCACGGTCACTCGTTCCAAACTATTTGTCACTTTACTTTCGTAATCAAATCCAAATTGATGGGCGAGTTTTTAACGGGAAAACAAATAAAACTGTTTCAAGATTGCAGGCTATTTTAATTGGTCGCAACGAAAGTTGGCACGCGATGTGATGCCGCAGATGTCGTGACTCGAATATCTCTGAATTGGTATCGCGCGCGCCGAAGGTGTCGCGGCCGACTGAGGCTGCTGGGAAGCGAGCCGCCGGTCGGCTGCGAAGCTTAGCCGGCCAGCGAGCGCATGCGTGCAGCGCCAAATGCTGATGCTCTCTCTCTCTCTCTCTCTCTCTCTCACTCTCCTCGTACTACTGTCTCCAACTTCTCCCTGCTCCTCTCTTCTCTCTCTCGAATCGATCGCGCTCGTTCGATTGTGAATCGCGAGTGCACACGAGGGTACGATCAATGGGGAAAAGGGCTTGCACCTCTATTCATTCGCTCGGGTTCCTTTCGATTAAACGTTAGATTAAGCCTTTCGAAAAAAAAACATGGTACGATTGACAGCACTTTTTTATTTGTTGAATTTCAGTTTGTTTGCTTATGCTTGCCGAAGGATCAATTAACCGAAAATTAGAGCTTCCTAAAATTTGCAATAGTTCAACGGAACCAATTAAAAATCGATAAATAAGGATCCCACATTCTTCATATATATTAAGCATTAATTCATTGAGGTGTTACTCTGAAAAGACTAAATGTAGAAAGATGCATCAATAATCATCTGTTATTTTCACATTCCGAATCTTGGAGATCTTGGAGATCTTGAAATATGTGCTCTGACGCGAGTTTAAAGGAGAAATTTCAGTCAATAAATTAGTATTCACGAGAATACTTTGTTTTCGAATAATAAATTATGGAAAAATTATTGATGAAATGAAAAAAGTTAGAAGAAAGAAAGAAAGAATGAAAGAAAAACTTATAGATCGTGGAAAAATAAAAATTTCTAGAAAATAAAATGCGAACAAAAATAAAAATCATGGCACGTGAAGAGTGGAATTGGAAGAAATCTCATACATCTCTAAAATAAACCAATTTTTCACGAGACGTTATTCGCATGACACGTCATTGTTTTTGATTTTTCAGCAATAACACGTGGCGCATCTTTAGATTCTATTTTTATATAAACATTGACTTAAATTCTTCGGTGCTCTTATAGATAAAATTCTTATCTATTATAAGCAGAAGCACACGTAGTCCAGCGATAATGCGCTTGCATCAGAGTTGTTACAACCGAACGAATACGGAGCCAATAAAATCCGAGAGCAATAGACTTCTCGAAGCACTTGTCGCTCTGCTCTCAATATGTTCGAATATTCGGTTATGTTTCGCGCGTCGGGTTAGCCTCGTTCTTGCGGACCATTGGGCTTCCATTCAAAACCGAGGATTACGCGCTCTGTATCTATCTCCGTACAAGGCATCCGAAATAATCTAGAAGGTACGCGCGGCAGCAGTCGCTACCTCACCGCTTGTTTTTTTTCGGGCAACCTTGCTATTCGCCGATCCTGCGATTATGTATCTAACTGACATTTTAATAACATTGCTGTGTGATAAATGTATATAGTTTTGCTTGGCACTGATACGGCTACCAAAGTAAGTTGTTTACGAACAGAAAAGTGTATCTCTTTAAACGTCTTTGTTCGAATCCTCGAGTTTATATGATTAACTTGATCTCCAGACAGAGCAGCTAATGATAACAAATAGTTGTCGTTAGTTTGTACTTCGATGATAAGTCGTAGTAGCGAGCTTCTGCTAAATAATCAGCGAAGAAAAGCACGTCGACACACCTATTGCCCGTATTTGTGGGCAGCGGCTCGAGTGAGCCGGGCAAAGAAATAGCCGGGCTTGTGTATAGCAAGCGAGAATAGGGCAGTGCGCAGCTCCGAAGACGAGTGCAAGCGCGCAAACGATCCGGAGTGCGCGGTCCGCCGTCGATGAATAAGCGGGCTGCGCGCCCCTATTTGCATTTCGCTCGGACGCTTGCCGAGGAAAGCGAGGAACGATTACTATTTCGGTGCGCCCGCGACGGGGCACGCGCCGGCTTGGTTTTCTCCGATACACGCGACGCGATGGGCGCGCGCCTTCGCTTGGCTGGCAGCTGGCGCCGAGGCAGGACTGCATCCGCGCTTTTCCCACCGCGACAAAAACGGGTTTCTTATTACGCGCGGCTCCTCGAACAATTTACAATGCGACCTGTCAATACCGCCTACCTATCTGATAGACCATCGTGCGTTTGTCGGGACGTGACGATGACCATTGCTAACGTGGTGTCTAAGCGTTCATCTCGAATTGCTTTCCAGCAGTTTTTTCATTTCATTTGCTAAAAGTTCATTTCGACGTAAAAATAATACTTTGGTATTCTAATCATTATAAAAGTCTTGTTTAAAATCAAATGTAGCCCACTAACAACTGACAGTCAGTGCAGAAAAAGTCTACGTGCCTTTTTAACCAATGGGATACGTGCATTTTTTACTCAAAAAAGTGCATGTACTTGATTTATCCAATAGACATTTTTTAGTTGTTACAAATTCCCATATTCCTGCTAAAAATATCTTATATGTAAAGAAACACCAGTAAATCATTTTTAATTGGAATGTAAGGCAATAAAGCGTTCGAAAGTAGATGAAACGGGGTACATGCCTTTCACCATCGATCAGGTACCGTAATCGCAAGGTATTCTTCTGAAAGTACTACATCCAAAGAGTAATCATGATATTTTTCAAAGTAATCAGATGAAAACCAAAGAAGTTACAAGCGATTTTCTTCCAACCAGCCAACCTATCCCGTATTCTCGTATACGAAACAGATTGGCCAAGGGTCTAGGATAGATCAAATAGAATATATATCTTCAAATCTTACTGAAAACAACGTCAAATTGAAAGCATAATTTTCAAAAACATAAATTAAATGAAAAAAAAGTTCATTGTAATCCAATAATAACACATCATTTGTAGTAACATACAAAATGTTTCTTTTTGCTCGCACATCATTCATGCACTCAGTTCCTCAATAACGACAGACGGATTTTTCGTACTACTCATCTTTCTTTTGTAGTATCAAACTATTTTCATTACGTTACTATTAAGATTATATTTAGGATAAAATAATCCTAAATAATATATAATTATTATAGTAATAAAATACAAAACAAAGTTGGCTAACCAGCTCCAAGGGCGTATATCAATTCCTAGATTCAACAAATAATATTAGAAGCTGTCGAAAAAAATTTTTTATATTTGCTAAATCATTATTTTTAAAAACGTTAATCAATACTTTCAAGAATAAAAAATTGTTCAAAATATCTGAAGAATATGTCAAACTTACGTTTTTTCACGATAAATTGCAATTTCCGACTGAAAATCACCACAAACATTCCTCATGCTATACCACATCATGGATATCGACGAAGTCGCCCTCGGTGATTTCATTCGTGACTTATTAGCCATCGGCAAACATACCCCCCAGTCCTAACCAACCCCGGTCTACCTTATGATAAGGTACGTGCTCCGCTGTATCTACTGAGAATTATAGTGTTACTTCAAAAAAGTGATAATATAAAAAAATGAAGAATCACAAGAGTGTCCAATTTGTTAATGTTTAATTAATCAAAAAGGCACGTGGTAACTTTACCAGCCTAATGTACGTAATATGCTACACACGTATCTATTTTACAAATTATCCGAGCTTTATAGTATGCATCTATATATCGTTAAACAAATATTATTTTTTCTCCATCAATACGTTTTCGGCTAGCTCTTTTGATTAGTTTAAGAAAATTATAAAAGTTCATATGATTTTCAATTATAATCAATTTAAACCAAGCGTTGCATTATTTATATTACTTTAATTGCTTACTAATTGAAAATAATCATAACGAATTTTGTATGTGCGCGCGCGTGTAACTATACTTTTCGAAACCGTCATAAAAAGTATATGTTTTTATGTATTATTTATTCAATAAAAAATAATTCTGAATGACTATGAATAGATAAATTAGATATAAATTAATTGCTTTGAAAAGCGTAATAATATAGTTTGGTAATTTAGTTACATAATCGAGTGAACAAATGCCAAGCTCATAGTCATTATATGAAGCAAAGAATGATAAAACGAGTCTATATTTCATTATTAAACGTTAGAGAAAACTAACATTTAATTATAGTCATTGAGTCATCTTTAAATTTTAGACATTCTCACTCATATGTAAAATTGAAAGAACAAACATTACGTGATGGCAATTATACGGAGTTGGCTGCGGGTAAGAAGTAACCATTAAAATTGTTTCAGCACAGATGAATAATGAGGTTTAAACAGACCCATTTCCTGAAAAACTCGTATTTTATACTTGGAGATCCTGTTGTTATAAACGCTTTATTGTGCATTTTATTGAAAAAGTGCGAACATTCCATGCATAAAGTTCATGGAACTAACGTGTTTTGATTAAGTCGTTTAATAATTTATACCTGACTGTAGATAAAACTTTATGCGTATTTTCATAATATCTGTTTGAAAAACCGATTAATTTACAATATTGGTCAAAATTTTTTGTATCTATATAAGAACCGAAATTTATGAGTAGCACTAACATCGCGAGTTATTAAATACATGTATAATAATTTTCATTAGTATTCTTTTCGTGATTTTATGTAATATAGAAATACCATATTTGACAACACAAGAGGTTATCTAACAATGATAGCGCTAATAGGTCACTAACAATCGAAATAATAACGACGTTCTCATTTAACATATACTTATCACTCGATTGCGAATTTTAATGTCATTTAACTAGATCGCGAAAGCTTAAACATTTTATTAAACTTATAACAGATTGTAATAATGCAATATAATTTAATTATTAATGTAACAAAATATCTCCAGTCAGAATTTATGGAATAATGTAATAATCATGTTTTCTAAACTCTTGCTGGTATATAATGAAAATTTTTATCGAATCGATCTTGGCTTATCTAAACGAACGCTTATCCTATATCTTTTTATTCAAAAGCAACAGGTTATTTTCGTTTCGGTAGAAAAGCTGTGTTAAAAGTAAAAAATTACCATGGGAGGGAGGCCTAATATTTTCTTAACAAATTGACTTATTATTTCGAAGTTGCATGACATGGCAACAATTGCTGATGGAAAAAGGAGCGTTCGGAAAAATCTCGATGGAAAAGACATAGTGCGGTAAGCATCAAGATCGGTCAAGAGTTTGTTTTAGGATTAACTTCATCGCAGCCCCAAGTCAATGATGAATAAATTCCCTCGCTTGTATTCTTCATTCTTGAGTAAATTTATATTCATTTGTGCTCAATACCACTGTTTTAATCAATCAATAACAATATTTTTAATAAAATATTTCCACACTCCGTGCGCATAGTGCGTCTTTCCCGTAACCTCGGCAAAAAACGTCCGTTTAAATTCGCACTTTCCACACATCCTATCGAAAAGTACGGTACGAGCAGACGAATATCTCCTTTCCCGCATTTGTATTGTAATGTACTATTATGCCAAAGAGGAACATTATTTATTTTTATAAAATTGAAATAAAAATAAACTAAAAATATTTACTACGCAACCACTACGCCAGAAATTTCGTCAAAAGTGATATATTTACAAATTTCTTTTTTTCATTCAATGTATGTGAGTTTGATAAAAGAAAGAAGTTGTCATTTGTTAGCATACGTACATCATAATTTATAATATAAAATATAGTGAAATATTTTTACAATAAAGTAAGTCACAGGATGATTATTGACAAATGATAGTTATCTAATATTTTTAATTTATTTAATTAACGTGGTATCCAGAAAATGATCAACTATTCAAAATCATATTACGTAACTTTTATGTATGCAGAGACACGCCTTTAGGCAGCATGGGCGGTCACATCTTTAGCGGATTATTGGAAGCCACCCTCATCGTACTCTGAATTCTATTTCAAAACGTGTTCTACCTTCGTGCTATTTTTCATCACATCAATAATAGCAACGCACCCTCGTAATATTTAAAAAAAAATATCTTTTTGTATTATAATATAAACTAACTTTTATAATAAGTATTTGGATATAATTTTCGATTATACATATATATTTATATCAACGGATTTTAACGATGAATGGCATTATTATATATGGTTGTTTTTCTGCATTTTTTAATGATAATTATGCGTGTATACCTATCAATGTCTGTTACATTCAGGTTTTAGTCAAGCTATTTGAAAAGCAGTTTTTCCTGTTTGATTGTTTCACATTTATAAGTGTAACCATTTGAAAATAAAATTTTTTTAAATCCCAGATCCGAATCGTAAATTGTCAATGCTGATCTATTTTATTTTCTTTACTGCTGAAATGAGTCATTAATTAGAATACTTTAGTAGAGCTTGACCACCGAATTTCAAAAAGTTATAAAACAAAGTTGTCTTTGTCTTTCTAAAGACGCATAGTCAAATATTTTTTGACATATTTGTGTTTCATGTAAAGTTTCGTTGAAAATTTTGGAAAGAAATAATAAGTTGTCATAAAAATTTTATCCATGTTCATCGGAACAAAGCAAATATTATTTTCTTCAACGTTTTGTCGATTCCTTCTTTACAATAAAAATATTTTTAATATTGCACTGAATAAAATTACGACAGCCGAAAAAATTCCAATGTAAATACTGATATTTTTTTATGACTACTATAAAATATGATTGCAGAAATCATGTTTTGTTGTGTCGGAAGATTTTATTGAATGTTTAATTAATAATTTCAAAATATAAAGAGATATATCCGTAAAATTCAAGCATAATATTCGTAGTAGTTATTTTGAAAAGAGCAAACTGCTGGCCAAACAAAATTACTTTACAGTCTATTAATTAATTAATATATTTGAGTCTATTAAATATATTAATTTTAACTTAAAAAATCAATATGAGGTTTTAACAGATAAATAATACCATACACGATAGTTTCATATGAATGAATCTACCGTAAAAGTTATCAAGTCAAAATAAACTTTGTTTACAAGCGCATTAATTCGAATCCTTCCAGTCCTGATAGTCTCACCTATATTAATCGTAATTTTCTGCTTTGGCCCGTTTTTTTTTTTGTTTTTCATTAATTCAGAATAATTTAATTTCAGAATTATATTATTGCTTTAATTCAATGTTTTTTCACCATCAATAAACTGATGTGAATTTGATAAAGCTATTGCTCCAATTAATGTCTTACTTCCTAGATCAAAAATTTATTGATAGAATGAGATTTTATTAAATTTAAAATGTTAGTCTGTAACGTTGGTTTGAATTTTTCTTTATTTCTGAAAAACTTTGATTGTTTTACATAAAAAATAAATGATGATGACAAAATGTAACGAGTACGTAATGACTATATCTCTGTATCATTATCAAAGGTATGGACAGTATATTTTTCAACAAAGTGGCCTATCAGCCGAGCGCATGTCAACGAATCTATGGTTCGTCTTACATATTACGTTGTTACCTATAAAATATTGAACACTATTTTCTATGGAAAGATATTTTAATGCAAATCTAAGGAAAATTAAATTATTCTTGGAAGCTTACGAAGAACAGAACTATGTTACTTTCACGTTATGTCTTTCGCTGTCGAATATATTAAACATTAATATTTTATAACAATTTTATCACTGATACGTATTTTTTTTTCTAATTCGTTATATATTTAACTTGAACAGGTGAACAGTAATACATTAAAAATGACAATTTTATTGTAATTATTCTCGATGAAAACTGAAGAGATTAGACAAGTACGACTTTTAATTGTCAAGTAATTATATATGAAAGCAAAATTTGTCAAAAAAAAAATCAGAGTTTCACACAACTTCAAGCTATTTAATATTTAACATTGAATTTCGACATATTAGAAGCGCACATATTAACTTGAACATGTTTATCGTAATCTTTTTTAATCCTAAATGCAATAAAAGTTTACGTTGAGTACAAGAAACCTGGAAGCTAAGGTTTTTCAAAGTAAGAACTTAAACGTATTTAGGTTTATAACCGTCTACTTTTATCATCATTTTGGTTTGTCATTGAATGACGCTTTCTTAAATTCATTTTGCATTTATATTGTTACGTCTTGTATGTCATAGTTAAAAAATTGATATTACGACGAATGGAATATTACAATAACATTTGAACACTCTAAATGTATTTTTTTCGTAATTTAATTCGCAGTTAAATTCACAAAAACAATGCTTCGTTATAAACTTGTATCCGAAATGTTTGCAAGCGCTTTGTGCGAATTTTTTAAGTTAACTTAATACAAAAAATGAGATAACTCTGGCTTTGTGAATTTAACTGGCCTTTTTCTGACAGTTCGCACTGTCGTTCCTGTCATTTAAAATGAATTCCCATGAAGAATTAAGTAAAGATCTTTTTTTTTTAATTTAACAAAAGCAGTAACTTAAAAAAACAGTATGAAGTTTCAACAGATAAATAATACCATACACGATAGTTTCATACAAATGATACTATCGTAAAAATGATCAAGTCAAAATAAACTTTGTTTACAAGCGCATTAATTCGAATCCTTCCAATCCTGACAGTCTCGCCTATATTAATCATAATTCTCTGCTTTGGCCCGTTCTTTTTTTGTTTTTCATTGATTCAGAATAATTTAATTATTTTGAAGGCTTGACGTTCACACAAGTTTTGCGGTGACAAGGGCAACGATCATCGAAGCAAAAACTACAAAGACTGAGCTGTTGGCGATGAAGGCCGAACTGACATCAAGTTTGTCTAAAATGCTCTTAGGGACATCGATGTAGACTTTTTCAACGCCAATAGCTTTAATCAGTTCGGAAAGCTTGTCGGTGTCGACTTTATCGTCATCAGCCGACCAAACAGTAAGGGTCGCGTTGTTTTTCGCTGGAGTGTCGGCTAGGAGGGACTTCATTGTCTCCATGGAATTGGCGGCGTAGCAAGCGCGCACAGGGTAAGTTATCGGCAGATTGGTGTTTGCTGTCTCGTTCACGAGCTTTAACATTTCCTTCACCTGCTGGGTGGTATAGTTGCCGGTGGTTGTTGCGTTTCCCACGGGTGGCACATACCTAAAAAATTTTCATTGTCACTATTGGTTCTATTGTAATCGGACATCGTTATTGTCATTACATTGTTAAATTGATCCACATACTACTAAGTCTTAATTATTTATTTAATAATTCTACTGATTTATTTTTTCAAAACTTATTGTGGACAATAGTACATTGCATGAAAATAGTACTATTAACAATGATTAACTAATTATTTCTTCACGATTCAACCATATTTTTAAAAAATGTGGCAACGTTCTATTTATTTTTCATTTGTCTTAAAAAAATGTTAACCTTTCACGGTCAAGTAGATAATAATTTTTCGGTTCATTGAAGCAAGATCAACGGTATTTTCGGCCTGTGCTGAATGAAGGCTACATTAATCAAGCGAAATTTCTTATCTCTTTCTCATATTTAAAGCCGAATTTTTAATTCAATGTTTTCTCAAAGTGCAACTTGGACTAACCCGATTGTACGTTTAGCCTTAAAAGTACAAGAGAAGATTAGTTTTGTGTAGATATAACCGAAGTGATAAAAACAATTTTACGTTATTTTAAGTAAACATCTGCTAATTTTGCAACATTTTTTCGTTTTCTCGAAAAAAAGTACTCATTTTGAAAACCTCAATATTCACGGTATAATTCCACAAATTAATAATCATTTAAAATGAATGTTCAGAAGCGTTATCACTGCTTATTACGCAGAATTATAATTCCGAAAAAACAAATAGGCGGAAATAGCCTGCGTGTTCCTCCGCACTGGTTGTAATTAACACGTTTGAGAAGTAATAATACAGAACACCGCGACCCCGGTCGTATCGAGAAGGTTCTACGTTGCGAATTTTCACGCGATCGCGTCTTGTTCTATGCTGCAATTTACACTAATTAGTAGGCCAAAATGCGCTTTTCAAGACTATTAAATTTATGGTCTAACTTTGCATTCTCTATTTACCTAGTAGTCCAGCCAATTGATAAAACCGGTTTGATTGCCGCGAAGTTTTGATTTGCTTTGGTCAAAAAATCTACGGGATCAACTGGCATAGGGTCATTGGTTGCATCTACGGGTCCTTTAAGGATGTCTGCGTTCACCCACAGAGGTGCGTTGAACTGAAATCAAATCGGATCGCGAAATAAATTTTGAAAATATAAAAACCATATTTTTTAATTTTCATATAGTGGGAAACAAGTTTAATAAAGTGTATGCTACTGGTGCGTGTTTTATGAAAGAGCTAAAAGTGTAGGATTTATACGAATACTTACTGAATCTGTCCCTGCGATTATAGATACGGAGTTTGAAAAAGCATCTTTAGATTTAAAGTCGAGTTTGACTCCTTTTTTCGTTTTATTGGCTTTGTTATGATTCTTAACAGTCTGGAGGAAATCAGAAAGAATCAGGTTACTCGTGTTGTCAGGTGGATGAGCCATGACTGCAGTCGGCACAGTTGACGTTGATCCATTACTCAATATCTGATATCCAAAGACCACATCTGCTTCGATCATCATTACCTCACCTTTAATGAATATGTTAGAGTTAATTATATCGAGTTGCAAGCTCTTGGGCTAGCTGTATCGTAAGACGAAAGCACGACATTAACCCTCGGTGTGTGTGTTTGAGGTCATTTGTCAAAAGCTCGCTCTCGCTTTGAACAGTCTGTTGACCTATTTGGAATCACCCAAGTGGGTGGATAAGTAGACAAGAAGAAAATTTCACGTTTGCAATTTTTTTCTAGGATAGCCTATGTTCGTTCAGTGCACCAGTCAGGTATTTATTGTCTTCAACGAAATAATCAGCCGATGAAAGAGCTGAGAAATTTGGAGAGAGAGAGAGAGAGAGAGAGAGAGAGAGAGAGAGAGAGAGAGAGAGAGAGAGGCAAAGATCGAGAACAATAAACGCGAGGAATTGAGGGATTCGAAGCAACGAGCGCTGTTATATAGGTGTTCATCGGCAATTCATACGATGGTCGTTTAAAAAATTCTTGGGCGCACGCGAATAGCCACTCTTGAATTCCAAACGAGAACTCGGTGGCTAAAGAACCTGCCAAAAAAAGAATTCAGCTCGCGTACGCGAAATTGTTGACGCGGTCGTGTCGTTGACGTTTCCTCGTGTACGCGTATGTAGAGATACAGGTGTAGATATCCATCAAGGCCGAGCGCAGCTTACATACGGGGAGCTGATAGATGCCCGTGGCTTTTGACGTACCTCGACGATGCGTACCTATCGAAGATAGCGCACGTATGCGTGCATGTATTGTTGGCTTTATTTCGAGACCTACACGAGCTACGTGCACGCTTGGAAGGCTGGCATTAGCCAATCGACTAGTTGCCTGCTCGACTTCAAGCCACAATTGACTTGTCTCTCTCGTAATTTCGTTTCCAATCTTACACGTCGTTCCTTACGATACGATGCCTAGAACTCAGCTACATTTCCAAACGTTTTTCTGTTTTTCTTTTCTTATTCGGGTACTCACTTGACTCGAGGGCTGCATCCAACTTAGCCTTATTATTCGTAGCGTGGGACCACTTAATCATCGTCAGGTTGTTTTTGATTTCTGGGAAAAACTCTTGCACGCTGATTGACATTGTGACATCTGAAATTGGAGTCATAGAAAACTTTGTTACAAGAGGAAATATTATGAGTGGAGACAGGCTAAGAGATTAGTAATCAGGGCAATGAGGTGCGACGACCACATATGTCATCTTTCCTTGCGGACGATAGTATAATCTGGCTAAAAGCTGTGGCGTATTTTATGGCGTTAGATTAATGAAGTTTGAAAAATTGATTTCGAACTTGGAATCGGCCTAATACAGACTGCTTCGTTCGCCAAGCACCCGGGCTTGAAAGAATGTGGATGTTGGAAATAAACATTGTTCATGAACGTCGCTGCGATCGGGTAACCTTGGAATGCGAAAAAGAGACCGAACGGAAACAGATGTCTAGCATCAACGTTTTACGGGGAAGGATCACCGAAGAGATATATGATTACAAATAGCATTCTTCTGAACTGCGTATTATCTCATCGGATTTCTGTAGCGATGAAAAAATTACTTGTGCCACACGTGCCTGAATATACGAATGCAGTTTCAGCATTATTTTTACCGTCACGTTAACTTTCAAATGTAGAATCGATCGCTCTTTTCCAGTTGGTTCTTGATTATCCGTCAAATGACATTCTATTCGACGTTTGAATTAGCATCGCGATTAATTGGCGCGCAAGAGGAAAGCTGCCCAGAGACGAAACGGCAGCAAGCCGAAAGAAGCAAGGGAAGAAAAGTTGGCGTTGAGGCTAATCGACGCAATACCGAGTGGGATGTTGGCGCGGTCGTGACTCTGTCAATTAAAAGCCGCGCGACGAAGACGGAAGGCTCTGCAGCGGCAGCGGCGGCGGCGGCGGCGGCGGCGGCGGCGGCGGCGGCGGCGGCGGCGCTCCACGTAAAGTACAACAAAGGCGGGAGGAAGACGAGCCGCGCCTGCTCAGTCGAGCTCTCCGATACGATCGGGGAGCGAGGGCTGCCGCGACGCTGGCTCGGGGCACACGTGGGCTCGCCAGCGAGCTCAGAGCCGAGCTACGGAGAGCGAGCCCGACCTACTGGCCTTGGAACTAAAAATACGATCGTGCGCGCGCGCGCGCGCGAGCAGCAATGGGATCTCCCTGAACTTTGACCCGACGGCTCCTGAAGCGCGACTGGTAGCCATCGCGCACGCCAGCTGCCTGCGAGAGCGTATCGGGGTTGGCAGGCTGCGGCAGGCTTACGTAACGCAGCCCCGCGTCCGAAAACTCGGCGCCCCGTTAAACAGGCTTTCTTCTCGCTCCTCCTCCCCCCCCCCCTGACAACTGGCCTCGATCGATATCGCAGCAACGACCCCGTGCACCGTCGCGTTGCACGCCTGGCGACGACGATTGATCGGGTCCGCGCGTCTCTCGGCTCTGCTCCTTCAAGCAATTAAGGCTGTGCTCGTTTAAATGCACAATAGGTAAATTGATGAATAAGCCCTTGATAAATCGCGCACGAATCGACTTGCCGTCGTGACGCGCGCGCTTGCCGGCCGATTGTGCGACGACGGATGTTCGTCTGCCGGGCGGGCCTCGTCCGTTTACGTTCGCCACGTTCCACGGGACGCGAGGCGTAAGCGCGAGATCGGCCGCCGGCGCGCGAACCACCGCGCCCTTTTCCTCCCTCGCCCCGGAGTGCTTTCGGCTACTCGGCGACGCCAACACGTGCCAGCTTTCGCGGCGCCGTCGCTCCAATTGTTGCTATTATTGCCGGCGCCCAAACGGCGGCAATGACCGGCCCTCCTCCCCAACTCCTTCTGTCGCGCTATTTGCCTTTTGCTTGTCGTGCCAAATTCATTTTTTCATTTGGATTCGGAGATTATTTGGCCTCGCGAGCAACATTTCATTTTCATTTAGGAGCGCTGAAGGCGAGTCATGCTCGGTATTGTTTTACGTTCCCTGGGAAAATTTAATTGTTACCGATTCAACGCCTTCCTCGCGATGTTTGACCTTGCCGTTGCAAAAGCTTCATTTATCGCATAAAAATTCTTCGCTTCCTCGCTATCCGCTTGCCGACACATCGAAATGAGAGTATATTTTTGCGCGAAATAGTTGTTCGAGCTCGCGCGTGTAAAAATATCGCGGGGCGCTTTTCCCAGAATATTTCTACGCTTAGAGCCTGCGCAACGTCAAATCTCGAGTCCTTTTTTTTTAATAGCCTCGGCATCTGGGCCAAAGTAGCCAGCGAAAAATAGTTTTGCCCGTGTCAACTGACCTCTCGACGCGCTACCGAGTACGCGCGATCAATCGAAAAAGATTGCGACCGAAGAGCAGGGTGGAAGGAAAATTGCAGCATCGTCGTGCTAGGCGCGCCTAACGAGTGCAGCTGATCCACGACCGACGAGCGACAGAGGGGCGTCGCGTGGGTCTTTTACCCGGAGAACGTGACTAGGGAGAACGTGGTCGGCTCCGCAGCTCGACGACGGGCATGCAGAGGGGGAGGCAATCGACTTGGCTTCCGGCTCGACAGCTCGTAATGAAGAAATTGCGGAAGGCTATAACGGCGCGATCGATCTTGCCTCCAGTTTTTGAAAGCTCGACGCGATACGGACGATAAACTCGGTTAGCGCTTTGAGCGTGTCCACTGCGGTGCGACAGCGTTCCCACTCTCCCAAAGCTGCATCACCGATAACGAGCCAGTCGCGTCCCTATCGATAATCGACCATCGATTTGAGCGCAAGTGCGCATGTCGAGTGCGTGTTCGTTGACGCGCTGTTCGCTGATTGCCAAGCAAATCGATCATCCTCTCGTCATGCTTATCGATTGCGCGTATGCCCAAAGTTAGTCATACGCACCGCAGCTGTCAAATCGGTCGATCATAAGCAACGCACTGTCCGATCCCAATCGATTGCATTATCCTCTCCCATTGTTCTTCATAATTCAATTTCTCTTGCAATTTTTCCTTGTATACCAATAAATGGCTTTGATGTAAATCTTAGAACGGAGTAATACTAGTTTCCTTGTAGCAACCAACCGTTCTCCATCGATTCTATTCAATTATTCGATCAATAAATTCTTATCAACTGTCATTAGGAAGCAATTATTCGAGAATTAGAGGTTAGAAATGGTACCAATATAATCAAACTATTCCACGGCGAGTTTTCGTCTCTCAATAGAAACTGGGCTCTGTAGTTTTAGTTTGCAAGTCAAGTTCTCACGACCTCTTTAAGCGCGATCCTATTAAATAACTAATTGCCTAGAGCTTACCTCTATGATATGTTGTTATAAAACCCAATACACTGTTGTGTATGCGCGAGCTGTCATTAGATTCGCGTGACTGGACGACTTTAGCTTGGAAATACATAGAGGGCAGGCTTGGCATGTTACGTGGTGACGACTATTCAAACACGAAGAATCGCTCAGTTGTTCTTTTAATTTATCAAGTTATCGCGTTTTAAAAAAATACCGTTTGAGTGTAGTCTATAATAAATATAATTAAAGTATTTTTTCTTTACATTGATAGAAGCGGTATAGTAATAAAACTACTTTAATCGGTTGTACAATGAAACCTATCTTAATGACAATATTACGTTTGTGTTCAGCAAAGACGAATCGCATAATTAGAAATTCAGATTGGTCATGTTAAAATTGCATTATTTAGAGAAAAAGCTACCAAAGATATAAAAAATAAAGACGCGTTTCATAAATTACTAGGCTGTCAACGAAACGCGACATCTCATTAGGATATATTATAAAATTAAAAAATTTACGCTACAGATGTGAGAAAAAAAAACGACTCGTTTGACACGGCTGAGCAATTGTCGAAGAAAAAAGAAATCAAACTCCTACGCGAGCGCGTTTGGTCATCCTTTTAGCACAGCCACAAGATTACAATAAGTCGCGAGGACAAAGCGACGTTTTCGTCTCGCGCGCGTATGCGCCACTCCCAAGCAAAAAGTCCGCGATGCAGCGAAAAAAGTGTAAAAATAAGCAAAAGAAGAGAGAGAGAGAGAGAGAATCGAAAAGACGAATTATCTTCCGGCACACGTCTGAAAATTGTCGAGGAGAAAGAGTAGTGGCGTCCATGTGGATGTCCTCGTAGTCACTCGTTCGTGCACAATGGCTCTGACCGAGAGCTATTTCCGGTCTAATGGTCAGGGACAGAGGCGGCAACAAAGCTAGCGCATCGCACACCTCTATCCCGCTGCTGCTTTCACCTCAGCTATACACACAAATCTCTACCTGTTTTTATTATCAGTCCGATCCCTGCTCGCCACAACTCCTCCTCGCCTGTTTTCATTCTAGATCTCCGCCGGGGACACTCCAGCAAAAGTCGATACTTTTATATTTTCTTTCGAGCGTACAGGGGCAAAGATAAATCACAATTGCTCAAAACCAAGTTTCGATAATTGCGCCCTCGACTGGATCGGTGCCAGTCGCTGCGAGGCTCAATTGCAAATGGAAACGTTCGAAATTCGCAAGAGAAAAATGTTGGGACGAGCGAGGTGAAGTCAATTAATCGATCGGCTCTCTCTTGCCGCTGCTGCTTCCAAGCCAAGCCCATTTGGGCAAGCACGTCGTCGAGCGACTACGACGCACGTGCAAAGTGTTCGAAAGAAAGAGAGAGAGAGAGAGAGACAGAGAGTTGCAAGCTGCATCCCGGCCTATCTCTCTTTCTCTCTGTGTAAGAGACCATGCGCCGCATCATCGACAAAGGAATGTCACTGAACGCTCGAGTGGCTTTACTTCATACTTGCATCACAAATAATTTGCTTTTTACCGTGATCCTGCTTTTTTTCCGTTTTTTTTGCCTTCCTATTTCAATACAGCCTCCATGTGCTTGCTCGCTCGACTGTCTCGAGCGCGCAGTCAGTAGGCCGATTTACAAGCGCGTCAAGATATTTGCCTCGACAAAAGCTATGCAGGTCGTTCCTTTTCTTTTTTATTTTTCGCCACTCCGCTTCCTTCGCGCGCACAAGGTGACTTCTGAGCGAGTGCGTTGCTTTCGCCTTATCCTATTGTATTTTTGCGCGCGAGAGTTGGGAAACTTCGAGTGACAAATTATTAAGCGATTGATAAACAAATGTGTAAAAGAA